GTGAAATACCAAATCACCTGGCTGACATAGCCCCACTACAGCCCATATTTGGTGCCCTGTGACTTCTGGCTTTTCCCAAAACTACAATCACCTTCGAAAGGGAAGATATTTCAGATGTCCAAGGGACTCAGGAGAATGTGATGGGGCAGTGCATGGTGACTGGGAGAACTGTCTGAGTTCCCAAGGTGCCTACTTTGAAGGAGACTGAGGCATCATTGTCCTATGTGCAATGTTTCTTGTGTCTTCTTCAATAAATGTCTACTTTTCTTTATTTTTAAAAGTATATTTTGTTGATTACGCTATTACAGTTGTCCCATTTCCCCCCTTTATTCCCCTCCACCCTGCACACCCCCTTCCACCTTCATTCCCCAACCTCCCGCCCCGCCTTACTTCATGTCCATAGGTCGTACATACAAGTTCCTTGGATTCTCCATTTCCTATATTTTTAACTTCTCCCTGTCTATTTTGTACCCACCATTTATGCTTCTTCTTCCCGGTACCTTTTCCCTCCTCCCCATCCCCATTGATAACCCTCCATGTGATGTCCATTTCTGTGATTCTGTTCCTGTTCTACTTGTTTGCTTACTTTGTTTTTGTCTCTGTCTTTAGGTTCGGTTATTGATAGTTGTGAGTTTTCATTTTACTGTTCATATTTTTGATCATCTTCTTTTTCTTAGATAAGTCCCATTAACATTTCATATAAGGGCTTGGTGATGGTAAACTCCTTTAATTTGACTTTATCTGGGAAGTACTTCATCTGCCCTTTCATTCTAAATGATAGCTTTGCTGGATAGAGTAATCTTGGATGTAGGTCCTTGCCTTTCATGACTTCAAATACTTCTTTCCAGCCTCTTCTTGCTTGCAAGGTTTCTTTTGAGAAATCAGCTGATAGTCTTATGGGAACTCCTTTGGAGGTAACTGTCTCCTTTTCTTTTGCTGCTTTTAAGATTCTCTCCTTCTCTTTAATTTTGAGTAGTGTAATTATGATGTGCCTTGGTGTGTGCTTCCTTGGGTCCAACTTCTTTGGGACTCTCTAAGCCTCCTGGACTTCCTGGAAGTCTATTTCCTTTGCCAGATTGGGGAAGTTCTCCCTCATTGTTTTTGCAAGTAAGTTTTCAATTTCTTAGTCTTTTTCTTCTCCTTCAGGCAACCCTATGGTTTGGGTGTTGAAATGTTTAAAGTTGTCCTGGAGGTTCCTAAGCTTCTCCTCATTTTTTAGAATTCTTATTTCTTCATTCTGTTCTGGTTGAATGTCTATTTCTTCCTTCTGGTCCAAATTGTTGATTTGGGCCTGATTTCCTTCCATTCACTGTTGGTTCCCTGTACATTTTCCTTTGTTTCACTCGTCATAGCCTTCACTTTTCACCCTATTTTGCAACCATACTCAACCATTTCTGTGAGCATTCTGATTACCAGTGTTTTGAATTCTGCATCTGATAGGTTGACTATTTCTTCATTGCTTAGCTGTATTTATTCTGGATCTTTGATCTGTTCTTTCATTTGGGCCATGTTTTTTTGTCTCAGTGTACCTGTTACATAGTAAGGGGTGAAGCCTTAGGTATTCACAGGTGGGGCAACCCACATCTCTGTGTTGTGCCACTGTATGTGGGGGAGGGGTCCTAGAGGGAATAATGCCACTTGCTCTGCTCTCTGCCAGGTTTCAATCACTTTTTCTTTTACCCACAAGCAAATTGGGCCCTTCTGGTGCTGATTCCTCAGTTGGGTGGTTTTGTGTATGTTCTAGGACACTGTGGGTCTCTCCAGTGAACTCTTCTGCGAGGCTGGGAGTTTCTCTTGCTGCCACAACACCCACAGATTTTTTCAGTCAGAGGTTTTGAGACTTTATCTCTCTGTGCTGGAACCCTGCATTATGCAGTCAGTCTCAGCTGCCTGTCTCTGCCCTTCCTACCAGTCTGGGTGAATGTTTCTTCTTTAACTCCTTGATTGTTGGACTTCCATACAGTTCGATTTTCTGTCAGTTCAGGTTGTTTTTGTTTTTAAATTTGTTGTTTTCCATATTTTGGTTGTGCAAAGAGGCACAATGTGTCTACCTACACCTCCATCTTGGCCGGAAGTCTGTCTCTACTTTTCATATTACATGGCTGGATACCTTCTGGACACACACTCTCTCTCTCTCTCTCTCTCTCTCCACACACACACACACACACACACACACACACACACACACACAGAGAAACACTCACAATTCTCTATCTCAGCCCGGATGTCAAATATGGCCTTTGCCTATGGACTCTTGTGTGTTGTTTAGTCTTGGAACTTCTTTTCAAGATAGGATGTCATTTACAATCTTTAGGCCATATGTTTACTCAGATTTAAGAAACACAGGCTAATCTTTTTCTATTTTGAGGAGTAATAAATTGAAAAGATAATTACATAATATGGTGTATAATGTAACTCTGGCTTGAGCCATATGTGTTTAATTTTAGAGAAACATGTGTGATGACAGGTTATGAAAGGATGAAACTATTTTAGTCTTTTAAGGATTAGAAGCATGATTTAAAAAAAATAAATGCTTTTTAATACTCACCCCTCTGCCCCCCAAAACAACCCAATGCATAAACTCAATGAATAACACCCAACTGAGGCAATTTGTTTTTATGGTGGACACTGGCAAAGAAAATTCAAGGACTTAATTCCAAGCTCTTGTAAAATTAGATGCAGGCTTCTGTGTGCTGCAGGAATGGGCGGCATGTAGTTCCTGTAGTTACCAGGTGTAGACTGTCCAGAAGGTACTTTGCACGTGGGAGATTATCCAGGATTATCATGGTACACCCATTATAATAGAGGAGGGAAACTGAAGAGAGAACTGAAGGGATGGTAGGGAGAGGGACCTTGCCCAGTGTTACTGGCTCTGACCATAGAGGAAGGAGCTACATGCTGAGGAATTCTGGTGCCTCTGGCAACTGGAAAATGCCACGAGAGCAGAGTTGCTGTATTTAGAATCAAGCAGAAATTTCTCATGTGAGTATCCAGTTAGAAACACACCAATTATCTTTTTATCATATCTGATATAAAATGTTGTGGTGGGAGAAATGCAAGAGCCCTTCTTTCCTTCCTTTCACAAACATTTGTTGAACACCTTATATGCTCCAACCACTGTACTGGGAACCTAAGAAGTAGAGTCAAATACAATACCCCTTATTAAGACTATTAAGTAAGCTAGAGGCTCATATACTGAGATCTACTTTCAGTCTACCTTTAGATTGTGTCCCTTTGCCCATGATTTTGGCCTGGAGGCAGGATTACCAGGTGTGGCCCACAGAATAATGTCCCCTACAGACGTGTGTGTCCTGATCCCTGGAACCTGGTAGTATGATATGTTACAGGGCAAAGGGAATTAAGTTTGAAGATGGAGTTAAGGCTGCTGATTTCCTGACTTTGCATGTGGGAGATTATCCAGGATTATCATGGTACACCCATTATAATAGAGGAGGGAAACTGAAGAGAGAACTGAAGGGATGGTAGGGAGAGGGACCTTGCCCAGTGTTACTGGCTCTGACCATAGAGGAAGGAGCTACATGCTGAGGAATTCTGGTGCCTCTGGCAACTGGAAAATGCCACGAGATAGGTTCTGTCCTGTAGCCTTCAGAAGAAACACAGCCCTTCCCACACACCTTTTTTTTTTTTTTTTAATCTTGGGAAGATCCATTTTGGACTTCTGAGCTCTAGAACTGTAAGAATAGAAATGTATGTGTTTTAAGTTACTGAGTTTTTGGTAATTTGTAACAGGTGCAAGAGGAAACTAAATACATTGAGAGGAACTGCAGGACTGGTGTTGTGTGGTGAACACAATAGGGGTTCTCAAACATGGCTGCACAGTGGAATCACCCAAGAGCTTTAACAGTGCTGACACCTGGGTCCTGGACCCCAGAAATTCCAATTTCATTGGTCTGGAGGGTGGATTGGACATTGGAATTTTGTAAGTTTTCCAAGTGACTCAGCAGTATAACCAGAGAGGGTGGGACACTGGTTTAGGGTGTTGGCTTCAGCATTAGATCAACATGACTTCCTCTTAAACATCTTCCTCAGGACAGCTAGATATGTGAGTGTTATTCTTTTAGCATCATTCTCTCATTTGTAACATGGGGGTGCGGTGAACTTCTACCTAGGTTTGTACGATCCTGAAATGCCCAAGTGCGTGTCTCTCTTACATGATAACTGCTCAGTAAATAAATGGTGGCTGCTGTTTTGACTGTTCCTGTGACAAAGGTTTGGATGCACAGGATGTACCACCTGATGAAGTAATGGTAGGCACAGTGTCAGGCCGATTTACACACCTGAGTTCACAACTGCCTTCTATATATATATACCTGTTCCAAGGAGAACGGCGAAATCTGAAAAGTTAAACAGTTGCAAACAAAGGGAATAAGCCCTAGGAACCTGGACCTGAAGCCTGGGTTCTCACTTTGAGTTCAGGGCCATGCCTGGGCTTGCATGGCACATGTGTAGGAATGTGGAGCTGGTGGCAGCATGCTCACAGGGTGCCTTTGTCAGCTTTCCACAAGCCATTCTCAGAGTCATTCCTTGGGCTGGGGGATGGCATTTGTACCAGATTCACTCTGCATGATTAACCATATTGCCCTGTCGCCTACCATCAACGAAAAGGAGGTTAAAAGCCATGGGAATGATAATTCTTAACAGTTAGAGGCTGTTTCCCTCTGTCTGCTGTTTAATCTAATCTCAGGTTCAGTTGATAATATTGATTAGATTCTTTTCAAAACCCTGTGTGGCCTATGGGGCTTCTCTGTGTGGGGTAAAATGTTATTCTTCTCATATGTAAGTTGAGAAGAAAAGGTGAAAGTATACAATTAATTTGCCTGCACTTTCTCACAAATTGTATGCTAGATTTCTGGGAAATGCTATATATGGAACAATATTCCAGCAAATTATTGTTATTTACCATGACTTTTGCCTGCATATTTAAAGTCAACAATTATGTTTTCTTTCTGTACTTAATGGCTTTTGTACAACAATTTCAGAAACCTGGTCAAGTGTCATTAAGAAAACCTGCGCTTTGACCCTGTGATTCTTGGGAAACCAGTTAACAATATCAGAAGTAACAACCAAGTCCTGCCTCCAAAGGGACACATTCACCTGTCCCTTCCTTTAAGGTAATTAATTTGTAGGCCATTGCCCTGTCTCATTTGTTTTAGAAAATACAGCATCTTTTGTCATCATTGGTGTTAATATTGTTAAAAGCAGATAACAAAATTAAACTTCATCATCTTAAATGCTCACATGGTATCCTTGTGTATGGGCAGTTTCGTTGTCTTCTAGAATTGTCATCCCTTTCTCCTCAATGCAGGGCATGTGTGTGCCACAGGAGTAATAATCCTTTTCTAATCCCAATCCAAATTTTGAAGTAGTACCCTCATGTTTGTGTCACCCTTACTTTCATTGCCATTTGACAGCCATCAACCTGAAGGCTTTTAAAGTGCCACATATTTTTGAAAGTTCAGAGGTCCAAGCAAGCTTTTTGTTTAGAGATCCTGATCCTCACCCTACTGGAAGTGGAAAGAGCAGTTTATGGTCAGCTATATGCAAACATGTTCAGGTTTTGTGAATTTGAAGAGGTCCAACTTCATTATTCCCTATTGTCAGATACTTTGGGTTATGATATTACCACCAAGAAAACAAAACAAAACAAAACAAAAAAACACCTCCCTGCTACCCCCCAGCAAACATCCCAAACTGTACTTTCTCTTTTGAGAAACTTACCTGGTTTTACTTGTAAAATATCTTGGAGTGTATGTACAAAGACAACCTAATTGTTGAATATTTTTAAAATTGTCTTTAAAATCAAATTGATGGGGGTGGGCTGAAAGAAGAAGCCAAGGCATGTGAAAGTTACAGGAAAGCACAAAGATAAGCAGTCACCTGTATCCCCTCTACCTTCTATGACAGTTAACATTTTGTCCTTTTGTTTTATAGATATATCTAAAAAGTATAAAATTTTTCAGCAACAGCCAAGATCCCTTTAATTTTTCATCTTCCCATATCTCAGAAGTGAATTTTATCAGGAATTTGGGGTATCTCATTCCATTTTATTTTTATATATCTACTTACACAGATAACCTTTTTTGAGAGTGTTTATTTAGTTTCTAAGTTTAGCATGCAACTATATTGTATCCTCAGTATTTCAGCCTTGATTTGAGAAAGATAAAGTGTGAATACCTATAGATCTAGCTTCCCCTGCTGAAAGTCTACACAGTGTTTTGTCATTTGACAATGAATGGTGCTAATTTATTCCAATGTTAATGGATGTTTATAATTTTATTTTTATTGAAAAAAAATCTTTGGCATGCACCAGAGTTTCTTTAGAGAATCACTAGGACAGTTGATTGCCCTTACAAAGATGTACTGCACCCCAGTGCAGAGTTGGCCACCACACCAAGCTGAAAAAGATGACATTGTCACTCCTTCCCCCAAGGTGCCTGGTGAGGAGGTGGAGAAGGACAGCTCTGTCTCTAGAGTGGCATATTTCAACTGGACTGCTCTGGAGCCCTCAAGAGGAGGTAATGATCAGCTAGGTCCTGTGTATCTAATAACCGACACTTTCAGGCATGCCTTGTCCATTCATTTCATCTGTTTGCAGAGAGTGTTCCTCTACATTAAACAAGAAGAGCCTCATCTTCTGTTACAGGTAGAAGTATGATTAGAGGAAGGAGGGCATCAACTAGTTAATCCAGCAAGAGAGTGGAGGAATTTAGAGATACTCAGTGAAGGTTGTCCTACACACAGACCTTTTGTTTTAAGCTTTCTCAGACATCACTTTCAAGAGGCTAAGGGAGTAGTGCTCGAAGCAGCAGCACATGGAAATAGAATAAAAGAAAAGAAAAATACAAAAATAAAAGGGAGGAAGAACTTCTGAGTACACAAAGCTTTCCACTGCTCCTTCTTATTCTGCGGTGTGATCTGTAGGTCTGTCCTGAGCTTAGGCTTGACAGCTTGTGGGGACAAGATGAATTTTTCAGTCAGTATGAGAATTGCCATCCACACCAACTGATACCCTCCCTTGGCAGCTGCTCCACTCTCTATCTTTTATCATTCCTCTTGATCCATCATCTAGAGAATGCTAGAAGGCATGAGATGTAGGTTCCAAATAGGAATTGGTGCCTGTTTTCTGTCTTGGTTTATTAAAAAAAAATATAAACTTTTGAACTTTTGAACTGCTAGTACCCGTGGGCGTGTGCAGGAAAGTTGATAAATAAAGATAATGTTGATGTGAGTACAATTTCTTTCATATGTAACTAGAAAATGTGAGTTCCAGATAAACTTTTCTTAGAAAAAATAAAATTTTAAATGTCAAAGTTTTTTGAGCTCAGGTAGGGTGTCTCCAGAACTAACAGACATCTTTAGACCTTGGACCAATTAAGAGAAAATCAACCTGATAATAAGTTGATATATTTGGCAGAAGGTCTTTTTGTTTTCATTGAATTTAGACTTCCCTTCCCCTCATGTGTTCTCTTAAAATCTCTATGTATTGTTGTAAGTTTACTTTTTATTTTTGTCTGCAATGGTCACTTTCTAATTTCCCAGTGCATTGAAAAACTTGTCTTCATATTATACAACATGTATTATGGATATGGAAATTTGTTTTTTTCTTAACAACTTCTGGAATAAAAATTCAGCTTCTATTACTTCCCAAGTATCTTTCGAAAATCTGAGGTAGTATATTAATATAAAAGGTAAACATGAAGCAACAATTGTAAGTAAATTAAAGAAACAGAAAAGACCTGTGCTTTAGAAATACCCAATCCAGTTAAATACCTGGTTTTTACATTGTTCATTAAAATTTTGAAATAAATGGCTTCATTGTATTTGTGCCAATCCCCAGGTTGAATTACCGCTGATATCAACAAGACTTACCTCAGTATTGAAGACAAGAGCATAATATTTCACTTGCTTGTGAAAAAGTTTTTGAAATTAGATTATAACTGGCATACAGTATTATATTAGTTTCAGGTGTCCAAAATAGTGATTTGACATGTATAATATACCTTATGATGTGAGCAATCTGATAAGTCTAGTATCCATCTGACATTGTACCATCATCATGTTTTTGACTATATTCTCTGTGCTGCACATTACATTCTGTTTCTTTGAGTCTGTTTTATTTGTTTATTTTGTTCATGTAGATTTTACATGTAAATGAAATAAAATGCTTTTGTCTTTCTCTTACTTATTTCACTTAGTGTAGTATCCTGTAGGTCCATCAACACTGTAGCAAATGGCAAGATTTCATTCTTTTTTTTATGCCTGGGTAATATGGCCATTATATATATAGTATGTATATGTGTGTATATGTATATGTATATCATATCTTCTTTATACATTTATCTTTCAGTACATATCTAGATTACTTCCATATCTTGATTATTGTAAATAATGCTCCAGTGAACATAAAGATGCATATATCTTTTCCAATTAGTGTTTTTACCTTCTTTGGATAAATACTCAGAAGTGGAATTGCTGAATCATAGGACAGTTCTACTTTTACTTTTTTGAGGACCCCCTATACTGTTTTCCATAGCAGCTGCACCAAATGATGTTCCACCAACAGTGCAAGGGAGGGTTCCCTTATCTTGACATGCTCACCAACACTTGTTACTTGTTAACTTTTTGATGATAGACATTCTGACAGGTGTGCAAAAGTTTGTTTGTTTGCTTGTTTGTTTTTTAATGAATTCGGCCTCAGAGCTTCTCCAAGAAAACACACTGCTAAGTGCAAGATGAAAACCAAAAGGTTACCATATAAAAAACAATTCCAAATCTAGAAATAATATTCATGATCTTTTTTGAGATTTTATTTATTTTTCAGAGAGAGGGGAAGGGAGGGAGAAAGAAAGACAGAGAAATATCTATGTTTCTAATACCTATTACCTTTGTTTCTAATACCTAATACCTTTCCATCTAATATGGAATGTAATAGGTATTTACTAGGTATTTGTTGCATTCAAACATGGACATTTTTAATATACTTGATTCAAAGCTCATCTCATGTAGAGATTTCACAGTAAAGAAAAGTTTGTAAGAAGTAAAGAGGTCAAAGTAGTTGACAGAAGTTACCTATAATATGATTTTGCTTTTGCTAGAGTTGTTGCCTTCTGATTTCTTTTACTTACACATTTTGGGTATGTGCATTTCAAAGCTGGAGATGTGGAAAGAGGACATTTTGTCATGTTCCATCTTAGTAGGCTGTAGAGTCTCCAAGGTTTTACCCCTACCCATTTCTGTCCCCTGGTTGTCACTGTGCTTCATTCAGTAGGGGTGAATGTTGGAGCTATGCACTGTGGAGAATCATGCATTTATTTTTATTGTCTTTGGAGAAATGCCAGGGTTTTAGAACTTTGGGAATACCCAAATACAGTTGAACCTTGAACAACATTGATTTGAACCTTATAGGTCCACTTTTGTTTTCCAATAAATATACAGTTGACCCTTATATCCCCAGGTTTTGAATCTGTGGATTCAACCAACCACAAATTGAAAACAATATTTTCTTTTTTTAAAAAAACAGTTTGTGATTCATGTTTGGGAATCTGAGACTTTGGAGGGCTGACCGTAGGTACTGTTCTATGCGGCTGTGTATAAGGGACTTGAGCATATGCAATTTTGGTATCTATGAGGGGTCCTGGAGCCAGTGCTCTGTGGAAACTGAAGGGCTGCTGTAGTTAAGTTTTGGGGGATTCAGAAGTTACACGAAAATTCTTCCCTGCATGTGGGCTCAGTGCCCCAACCTCAGCATTGTTCAGGATCAACTGTATTGTGAAACCTGTTGTAATTTGTGATCACTAAGCCTCGTGGTAGGGGGTGGTGGGATATAGGATACATGACCCATTTTGTTGAGTCTCTATTTTATAGTCTTTCTCTTTAGTAATTGGAGTTATTGGAGATCAAAAGTTTGACTCCTGTAGGAATGTGTGTACATATGTACACACACATACACATACATATATCAAAATGTATACTTGTGTGTGTGTGCACATGCACACATATATGGTTGTTGAATTGTCTGAACCCAAATAATTCGAGTTTCTGTCCTAGCAAAAAAAGTTACTTCTACAAAAAGTTGAAAAATAAATATAATCTGCAAGGTATCACAAATAACTTTTATGTTTGAATCAAGCTATTATATTTTTTATGCTTTTTATATTTAGGTAGATCAGGTAATAAAATAGCTGCATAGTTCATAAAGTGATATGGCATTACTGCCTGCTGTGCCCAAGAAGTAGGCCAGCTTTTTACACTCATGAAGTAAAAGTGGATTAGAATTGTGATCAGTGTATTACCCTATGTTTCTTATTGTGCATTCTATTTCCTTTTGAACACCTTTGTACATTAAATGGCTATTAATGACATAATTAAAATTGTTTGTCACCACTATAATGTGTAATTTCCTATCTCCTCATGCAGATGTAAGTTAGATAAAGGAGGAGTTTTGGCAGGAAGACAAACTGCAGTGATTTATAAATGGCCAGATGTGGTTGTTAAAAGCTTATCTACAGAAGGCTCAACTGAGTGTTGCGGAATCAGAGCACAATTGCTGTGCACACCCAGCCTGTGTGTCTTGGTGTCAGTGACATAGCTGCTCATGCAAGCATGACAAATGAGCCACATGTTTTATTGTTGTGTACAGATTTTGTGTTGGAATTTAAACAGGGTGAGAAAGGTTCACATTAGCTTATACCAGCAAAGTAGGTGTTTAAAGGAAATTAATGAGACTAAAGTGCTAGTGATATTTTCAGTTTGCTTAGTGCTTCATAACAGAACTGAAATATCTTACATTTCTGTCAAGTTTCAAAGAGGGAAAATCCCAGCACTGTTAAAAAAGAAAGAGAGAAGTTAATATGAGAATTCAAAGAAATCAGAAGCAAGTGGAAGCAAGGCATTACTTAAGCACTGTTGACATACATATTGCACACGCAGACTTGACATATATACAGTTAGGTTAGGTAGGTGCTTTTAAGGAGGAGGCACAATTTCTGGTTTTTGTAGTATTTGTGCAGGCAAAGCTCTGTTAAAATAATGTTAAGACCCTGGAGTGATAGAAGCTACAAGTGGTTCGAAGAGTGTTTTTCAGCTTTAAGAGGAAGGAAGAAAGAAAGAAAAAAGAAAATGGTTATATCTTAAAGCCATTCTGTGGTCAGAAGTAGGTATCTTTTTTCTCCCTTTCTCTTCCCCACCCCCTCTATCTTCATTGTCTCTTCTTCCTTCACTTGCCTGGAAAATTTTATATAGAGGAGAACTAAACTGTAGGATTGGGTCTGTATAGCATGGAACCCCAAAATATAACAGATATAGCAACTATCCTGTCCCTCTTAGGGTGGATAGAAAAATTCCATGGTATAAGTTGAAGACCTAGAAGTTTTAAGTGAAGTCTGTGAGGCCAGTGAAAGCTTTACTGGGGTCTTCATAATAATACCCTCACCTGCTTTGTTGTCTCCTCCTCCCGTCTTCTCAAGTTTTATAGACTTGATGCTTCTGGTCAATTTACCATCCTTTCTTTCTTTTT